AGTCAAAAGCAGCTTTTAAATCAAGAAAATCTATCAACTCGGGACGTGGCTCCGTTCAAGGACTTGTCCCAAGGTGAATATATGGTTGATGCATGTTCTGCGAGGGCGAATTTCAGCTTGATTCTCACGAATGTGCCTTTCCTGATACTATGTTAACCTGCGCCAAACAGTGCCAGATAGCAACTTAGATGGGATGGGTACGTCCTTGCACCATTTTTTGGTGACTGGGATGATTTCCGAGGAGCTCCATTCGACTAGTATTCTCTTTTTGTTCAACATCTGCAGTATGGTTGTCAGACTGTTCACGGGACCTCTCCACCTTTGAAAAGTGCGGAACCATTCAGGCCAAGTGCCTTTTCATGTTGAAGGATCGATATGTTACTCTTTATTTCTGTTGTTGATGGTGGGTCGGTGTTGATGTTCCATTCAGACCCGGTGGGTTTTTCCGGCAGTTGTGTTGGAGGATGCCAGTTGGAATGTGCTCAGCCCATCTCTCAAGACGATTTTGTGGTTGAATTCTCGTTCCGTCTTTTTTTGATCAGTTGGACGCGATTGTTGCTTGCAGCGGAAGCCTTCTCCATATCCTGGGTCTTGAAATCCACCGACGTTTTCTGTTATTCTTCGAACTTCTGATTACCCGGCGATTGAGGGATCTACGTGCGTCATCATAGTCGCTTGCTGCTATGGCCTTTGTGGAGACAATAAATCTGTTGATCTCGACGATATCCAGTGTTTATTTAGTTGAGCCTGATGGCTTCGATGGACAATTCTGAATGCTGAGAGCATAGCTTGTTTAACCCGCTTACATTCAATCTCCAAGCAATCTCTTTCATCCGTATGGCTGTGCGTTTCCAATAGCCAGGTCACATGGATACTCTTGAGCTACTGAAACTTGTCGAAGTTGATTAATGGATTTGCTCCGCTTTCGCACGCGTAATTCTGACGGAAAGCGAAGCACTAACTGAAACCGCACAGTGGCTTGATGAGAGTCAAGTTGCGTACCCCAGGAGGAACGACAAACCTTACTTGAAGACCTCCATCGGTATGTGATAGTCGCATGACTCTGTTGAGTCTGCGACTGCCTTGCGATCTGTGGCCTCCGAGTAACTGGATGTTAGCGCTTGTGTTGGAAGTTAGTACTGGCCAGGAACAGAAGATGGTTAGCACAACGGAAGCAGTTGCTTACCATTATCTGACATCTAACAGTGCTTCTTCCGGACCTAGTCGTCCAAATTGGGCATTCATATCACCTGAAGGTTTACTATATCCATCCCTCTTGCTGCTCAAAGCAGTCGCGACAGATGTCGACAAACCCCATCCTTCTCAGTCTCAGACTTGCAGTCTGTCGGGGCGCGTGCTGTTGAGACAAATAAACACCGCCTACCGCATCGACCTGCGTTGAAGCATCAGTGTTGAACACTGATGTCATGCTGCCGATGATGATGATGATGATCTCAATTGAGCCAGACAACCGCACAGCAATAAAAAGCTGACTGTTAACTGGCATCCAGTCCAATGAAGCGTTTTCAGCCTTGAGATTGAGTGCAATCCCAACACCACGAGCCGTTGCGTCAGGATCACCAGATACCCGAAGAGTGAAATGTGGAAAATTCGAGCTCGTCCTAAACGGCCTGAAGTGGGATCTTGTATGAGTGTTTTGGAGACAGCATACATCCACGGGGAAGGTTTTCTTGAGAGACCCTTCCCTTAGCCAATGGATCGATGTTCTGACCCAGTTGGCTGCAGGGGACTGGCCTGGCCCGAAGACGCAAGGAGTAAGGATTTGTCTCACTCCCAATGCAGCTGCGCACAGCAGGTACCTTTTGGGCAGCGTCGGATTCTTTCGTTTTAAAAGTATTTCGACCGTATTGAGTAATGTGCCAGCGGTCACGGGCAATCCTTGGATGATCGGAGTTTGCGGTTTTTAGGGCTGACCTGTTCTAACCCGTTCTTTGTCAGAGGAAGGCAGCATCGCTGCTACTATGAATATGTAGTTGCTGGTCGCCTAGGAACAACAACGCCTTACTACCTTCACACTCCCATCGTAGAGGATAGCACGACTTTGCTCCCAAACCGCCTCATAATACGACTTCTCGTAGTTGTTGTCCCCCAGATCTTCCTAGTCGATTTCTTGATTGATAGTCTGGCGAACTAGACTCGATTTTGGCGACTTTTGTTGAATCTGTGGGGTGGTTGGGAAGTATTTCCTCTAGTCGAACTCTCATTTCTCGCCCTCGACCACCCCTACCAGCACTAATTCGCTCACCGTTTGGAAACCTGTGATAGGTGGAAATATTTCATTCCGTAGGCCAAGGCGATCGACGCGGAAAGTCCAGAGGCGCAATATCCATATTGCTCCTGGGGACTTGTGGAATACGGAACAAATTCCAGAATTTGGAACCCCCGGATGACGTTGCGGCATTTATGGCGCCGACGTAATATCAGTTTGGCGCTCAAGGGCAAAGTGCACAATATGCGGTTCGATCTGCTCTAATTTATCAATCCGAGACGGCTGCTACAGATATTCTAAGACTCTGTTTGACCATCGCCGCCCCCGAAACACTGCGGGATTCGGTTGGAAAATCAAATCAGTAGTGCCAAGATGCGCTTGATGGTAGGGTATTTGCCCTCACAGTCCTCGTTGCTCAGCCATGCGTCGGGTGAATAGGACCCGGAGTTGATCAGTCCATGACTTGGCAACGAATCATAAAGGCTCTCACCAAGCAGCTCACTCTCGTTCGTAACTACCGTCTCTCTGGATTGGGATCTCACGATGAAACAAACCAATAGTTGGTGGTCTTGATAGGCCTGATTATGTTACGCAGCTAATGTCGATCTTGCATCAAACCTATCACCGCTGCGTAGCTCTTTCACTCTTTTTCATATGGGACATCCAACATCAGTCTACTGACCTAAAAAGCGTGATTTTGGTCCTATTATTATCCTTTTCCTCTCTGGAATCATTTAACTTTGATACACGGCTTACAGCCGGAAGACTGACCCACTGACAGTATTTTTATTGTGCAAGTTGGTCACTGTGCTGATCAGCTGCTTGCGGCCGAACCGTTCTGTACCCAACTGCAAATCGGAAGCTGACCAGTTCGAATCTCGTGGGAGATTATTAGTAGTAAGTAGTAATCGTCCATCTGCAACAGCATTTTTAGTGCATAGCTGCCGTGCCACCTGAAGGAAGCACAACACCTTGGATACTGCCAGGTCGCCGAAGCCCTAGACAAGAGCGTTCAACATGCATATTTTGCGTTTGAACCACGGACCTTCCGCTCAGTAATTTCGCGCCTTAACCATACAGCTATCTTCGGCTCGAAATAGTGGGAGACTAGTTAGATGCGCACTGCTACTAGTTCTCAGTAAGGATGATTCAGTTGTACAGATTTTCGGCATAAGTTGGCTTCGCTTGATGGACGAAATCTTAATTGAAAAATTCCATTACCTCATGCCAACAGAAAGCAACTGAGAATGCTTATCATTGGAATAAATTTGTTTTGCTCTCAGCCAGCTTCAGCAGATTCCAATCACAAATCAACCGGGGAAACTTACGTTTGCCGGCCCTCCGTGTGCGTTTACCATCCTCATTCGTCTTCAGTCAGGGCCCGACGAACCCAAGCACCCACTCAGCGACGGCCACCACTGCGGCTTTGATTACGATTCGACCGCGTTGATGGTCGATTCGCTGGGTCGACGTGGGGTGCACACCCCAAGGAAGCAGATACTCACCTTTCCCAGCCGAAACCCGGGCTGACTCCTGCCGAACGAATTGTTTTTTTTAGTGTGTGAGATCACTGTACCCCACTGAGCACACATGGTCTGTAGATTCATTCCATAACAAAATCTTGCTCAGTTTGGCGATTGGAAAGTGTAGAGTAGCTGATTTTGGTTCAGTCCAGCAACTGGATGAGCTGAGTGTGATACAAGCATGAACAGTGGTTCCCCCTTGGTTGAGCGCGTTTTTTTCACTCGGAATTAGAACATATTTAATCGAGTATTCAGTTTGAGTGGTAAGAAAAGGCTCATTTATTTCACAGACGTTGATTACTTGCGTGAGCTGAGTGCATTGTAAATTCGTTTCAGTCGGGGATAGTACATTCTTCACCCGACACATGACGTGTTCAAATTAAATGTTTGGCTGTGGGACTACTGATCGATTGGAAATGTGGGTTAGGTGTAATGCCTTACTTTGACTCCTGTCAGGAGAAGTCCTCATCCAGTGTGCACGTATCGACGACTATTAAGCTGTTAGATTCATGATTCAAGCCTGATAGAGTATAAAACAACACGAAAACGGAGCGACACTTTCGTAACACAAAATGTTGTGCAGTATAAACGCCGCTTAGTAGACCATTCCCTTCTTTGCATGCTACGCTTCGTTCGCTCTCGGATGCGAATATTGGTGATCATGTTTCTTTCCATTTCTACTCTCATAGTGGTGGTGTTGTCATTTATTTCGACCGTGTGGAGGTTGTCAACTTTCTATCGGCCCCCAGTGGTAAATCTTCCCTTTCGTTACTTCACCTCCGGATTATTTACAGTATTCGACATAGTCAAGAACTACACGGCAGATTATGACAAAACCCTTATCTACAACAAGATCCATCATGAACTGAATCAGTTTTGCAGCATACATACTTTGCAAGAAGTGTATATCGAAATGTTTGGTAAGGTTGTTTTCCACATTCAAGGCGCCGCCTTTTTGTTATTTCTTATGAATGCGGGGAAATAAATGCGTGTGAATCTGACATTGCTAAGGATTGACGGCAAGGACTCGTTACGGCGAACTTACTGGGGCGGTCTCAACGGACCGCGTGAATTTTTCCGTATGGTGCTCACAGGCTCAAAACATGTTTTTCCTAACATTGGTCTACCTGGCCTCGTAGTTGTCTGGAACTCTTGCACACGCCACTCCTCGTGTTCCGCCATAGGTGCGGAAGGAATCCGAAGGGTCGCATAGTCCACATAAAACTTTCAGGACTAGCCAAGAGGAAGTTTGGAAAATCAGCAGGTTAATTACTAGCGTCTTTGAGTTCATTGTTTGTTATTAATCTCTTTGGCATTTTCCCGCGTTTTCATTAATCTACATCCCGATGGGTTGAAATTTTTTGTCATAATTTCCGAAAGTTGGATTTTACTTTGTTCAGTGATGTCCATCAACCATCTTTTTTCTTGGCCTGCAAGCCACTTTGCTTCCGACATGTTTAATGTGGAGACGAAAGCTCTTTAAAATTAAGTATTCCACCATCCTCGTAGTTGGTCAGACCACACCGGTTCGCGCAATCACAACACCTGAAAAGTTGATTTCGATGAAGTCGCAACTAGAAAATACAGTTATAAATGGAACGCGATTAAAATATGTGGTTTTCTATAGAGAAAAATGTTGGTAGCTCGGGTATCGTAGATGGTTGTTGGTTTGTTCGCTGAGCTGGGCAATTCGATTGCAAACGTCTCATCACCAATCGAGGTGACATCATCAGTTCGTTATTAAGGGGCTTAGTGGTGCGTAGCGATGAGTTGGGTGTTGTGCGTTAGGTAGTGTTGTCCGTGTGTGCCCACGGACGAGGATGACAAGCTCAGTGGTCACCTGGGTATCTGCGAACCGGGACACAGGATAACAGTGCAAACAATGGAACCGCCCGACCGAGCAACCAACCGTGATCAAAGGTCAGCCCCGGCTAGCAGCTTTACAAACAGGCAACACCACTCAACGCACAACAACCAACTCATCGCTACGCACCAGCACCCTCCCTAACAACGCACTGATGATATCATCTCGATTGGTGATGAAACGTTTGCAATCAAAATACCAAGCTCAGCGAACAAATCAACGACCATGGTCCGTAGTTGTTTTCAATCAATTGGAAAAAGTTTGCGACCGATTCAGAAGTCATCGTTTCAGAGCAGCTTGGTAAACATTCGGTAGTTTCTATCTGGGCAACTTTTTGCTTTTGACGCCTACAGGCCATCTTCATTGGCCTGATGAAGCTTTTGTGTCAAAAGCGAAACTTTGCCCAAATAAAAACTACTGATTGTTTACCAAGCTCTTTTGAAACCAACGACCAGATTAGGTGGTCAAGTGGATGGTAAAAAGAAGGCACTCAACCGGAGTTAATTAGGAATCGTTGCTGCTCGACCAAGACACATGGTGATTTTACTGACGCAAAGTTGATTGCTCTACTCGAATGGCGATCACGTCTGCTGTGACCAATGCATTTTGTCCAACAGTGGATCGATTTGGTGGCACTCGACATATCACGTTGAACAATCCAACCGGTTTGATTTGTATTGACCAGGCGAGCTGCAACCACCCTCGTCAATTCTACTGCATGACGGCATGTGGTGAGTAATTTTTTCAGACAGTTTTGAGTCGTCCAGTCGACGTGGCTCAAGAAACACTCACAAGCGAGTAAAATTGTCGTCACAGAGGAGTCACGGAGCGGTATCTTATCGTTGGTGTTTTCGCCGAAGTGGATACTTACCCAAGCGGGATTGAGCGTTCTTCCATCCGAAGTTGTTGGTACCCCCTTAGGTGTTCCATTGTCGCTTTGGGATGCTAGCTTTGTGTAGATGGTCACCTTCAAGGTTGACGGCTTAAGTCTTCTGCTTGAAGGGTGGTCTCAAATAGCATACTAAATGTTGTATCGTGGGTGGTCGTCTATGAGCTACGCCTGCACTGAGCCTACCAGACTACGCGACAGGGAGAAGACAGAGAACTGAGGACACGGCTGTATTCCGAGAACAAAACATAGAGAGCGTCTGCGTAATATATAGGATGACTAAATGGCCAAATATGGTCGATCACTTGTTCCCTCCGTACAACCAATAGCGATGTTCCAGTCATGAACAAATCTCAGGCCCACTACCCTGGTCATATGTTGCTAAGCCGTGTTTAGTTAGAGCCGCCAACGCACCTTCCGGACGTGTCGAACCGATGGTTACCTTGGGGATGCGTCACTCTCTGCGCACGTACTTCTTCCATGTCTGGGCGTGTCCTGACACTAAACATCTCGGGGAATCCGTTTTCCGAAATTCTCTCAATATGCACGTTCATTGTGCATCTACCATGCCATTTATACAGATCCTCCAAACACTGTCTGCCCAACGCTTAACGTGTATTTCTGTAGTGTGACAGATGAGGTGAATGCACGAATCTGCAAGGCTCGGGCCGCGTTTGCTAACTTGAGACACCTAAGGCGTCAGAATGGTTTATCCCTGAATCTGAAGGGACTTGTGTATCAAGCTACAGTACGTGCTGTCGGTGCTACTCGCCTTCCAGGATGGGGACCGCGTAATCCTCACTGTGATTGGTTGGAGACACTACAAGATATGGCTGCCAACCGATGTCAGTGGCGTTCTTGTCGTCAGTTTCTATCCAGATTGCCTGAGTGAATGTCTGGAGGTGTAGGCGCCTCGGAATGATTGTATTAAGCTAGCCCTAAATCCCTCCCCCGTCCACCTTTATTCTTTTCTTTACAATAAGGCTTTTAAATAAGTCATGGTTGTACGGCAGCGAAGCATCGGTGTTGAACACTGATGTCATGCTGTTGATGATGATGATTAACATGTATTTCATGTTAACGAAACTGTGAAAATGTACTGGACAGATCAAGTTACGTTCTTATTTACCCGCAGCAGAAACGTTTTGGCTAATGCGACGTCAAGAAACCGAAAGGTATTGTCGACCCCTTGCTCCGCACTGAACTGGAGCTCCGGCTTAGCCGAATTAGGTGTTCGGGATCATCCCGATTGTGGTGGGACAATCGCGGAAAATCAAAATTACATCAACACCGTATGGATGAAATGGTGAATGACCGCTGGGTTGTTTGTTGAGGTGAGCAATTTGTTTGCAACCGTTTCATTACCGGTCGAAGTGTCACAATCAGTGCGTTGTGAGTGAAGATGATTGTTTCTTGCGCGTGCCTCTCGCCCAGGTCGACCTTGACCGACCATTGGTTGTTCACGTGGGCATTTCTATTGGTACCTTAAATCTCGGCGCAATTCCACTCAATGCGCAAAGCATGTCAGCTCGGCTGGTGATGAGACGTTTGCAGCCAAACTGTTCAGCTCGGTGAGCATACCAACTTCATATTGCGCCTGTCTTCGTTCACTAGCCTGACCCACTAGTCCAGTCACTGAAACTTGTGCTACCAAAGACTATTGGAAACAATGTTGGACTGCAGTGGCAGCAAAGGTGGAGACAGATGTCGACGTCGTTAAGTTTGGTAAAACCTTCAGACAGGTGTGGAACAAGTTATGGGATACCACATATAAAGCTCACCACGGACTTCGATATTCGTTCAGCTGTAGCACCGTTTCGGTGCCTAACTGCCATGCCACCCGAAGGAAGCACGAGGGCTGGGATACTGCCAGGTTGCCCAAGCCTAGACAGGAGAAGTCGAGTGGTGGAAGTCGGGTTCGAACCGCGGACCTTCCGGTCAGTAAATTCGCGCTCTAACCACTTGGGCCATCTCGCCCCCGACTTCGATATTATGATCACCAGGTGGATGAAACGTTCCACCCGACCGGTCAATCGAATCTGTGAGCCACACGAATGCACACGATTTCAATTGCAGCATCTTGCCGGAGAGGCGAATCGTTAAGCTCTTTCGTAGTCACAATATGAGTAAGTTTGAAGTGTGGTATACAAGGTATGTACATCTGTACTGTTTGAGCCGATTCGTAAGGTTTTTGCACATTGGGGCAAATGTAGTATTTCCACTTTTCTGGGTTGCTTCGACGCTTCTGTCAATCCCGAGAAAGGGGCACTATCCTTATCTCTACGAGAGCAGTGTTAGAGAGAGAGAGAGAAATGTTAACATATCGTAGGATATCTCTATCAGTTCTGACGAAATGGCCAAAGGGCTAACAGACCCGTGCAGGCAAGCCAACTAGAAGTCAGCCGCAATTAGATTATCACTTAATGTGGTGATATTCTTTTGCTACTCTATGTACTGTTGATCGACGAGTATCGTGAACCCATGTCTGAGGTGCCTTAACTGAGGAATTCTGGAATTTGACTAAACTGCCACGTCACTGGAATTCGGTATTTCTTCATATTTGAACTTGATATCTCTCCATTCAGATCAAATTGATGAATACTTGAAGCGAACTTTACAGGAAGATCTTACGGTAATGGCTCCTGGACTATTCGTTCAAGCCGTGCGGGTCACAAAACCGAAAATTCCGGACGCAATCAGACGCAATTATGAGGCAGTAGAGGCGGAAAAAACAAAGCTACTAATAGCCAACCAGCGCCAGAAGGTTATCGAACGAGAAGCAGAGACAGAACGACGCAAGGCAGTGATAGGTATGTGTTTTGTTTGGTGCAGCGTTATGATGTGTACGAACGACCCCGTCATGTCCAATGTTTGGTGTTTGGGGAAACACTTTGGCAATTACCATCTGCCATTTCTTCACTAAAAGTGCACAAACGCAAGGCAGAGGTATGTGTTTTGTTTGGTGCAGCGTTATGATGTGTACGAACGACCCCGTCATGTCCAATGTTTGGTGTTTGGGGAAACAAACACGCAATTACCATCTGCCATTTCTTCACTAAAAGTGCACAATGGTTGAGCAACAATATATATATATATATATATATATATATATA